TATTACTGTCACATTTTTAAAATAACAGCATGTCTGGAATAGCTTCAGATTTGACGAGGACTGAGTTGGCCACTCTATCTTTTCAATGAAGATTTAATAATATGTAGGAGTTTACTGTGCGATCTTCTCTCAGAAGAAAATTATCTACATAGTTATTTATAGTTTTCAGAACTTACTTAATCACTCAAGTAATAGCTACAGTACTTCAGTACTTCACAACAAGCTTTGGGGAAGATTTTCCCCCTCATTTCAGCTACAGTAGTCTAAAATTAACTACAAAAAAGCACCAAAAAAAAAAAAAAGACTTCTAGACAACAAAATATATGCACGCAGCAAAAACACAGAGAGAGAGAGACTGTGTGATCAAAGGACTGATTGCTGATAGAAGATTTTATAATAACGTGTTACTGTGCCCAGAAACTGGGAAACAAACTACTGCTTGTGAAATTGCTCCTGCGCAAGGCAAGAGGAGCCCTACTGCAACACCCTGAACAAAAGCACATTGAGAACAGAGTCTACAAAGAGGTTTGTTCAGACACACGAATATTGCTAGAAAAACTCCTATCAATGTAGATAACGAGCAAGAGATGGCCTAGAAAACTGCTTGATGTTGCTGCTATTTGGCATACCTCCTTGGCAAGGAGGTGCCTGCCAGAAGCCAGTGATCCCAGAGGCCTATGTAATATCCTCAGATATTATACAAAATATATAGGATCTCAACAGTGGGCAGTATGATCAGTTTCTTCAGACCTAGAGCAACTATCTATAGCGGACTGGCGGATGCTTGTTTACACGTAGGTAATTAACCTCCTTCTAAGCCATCACTTCTCTCCATTACCTTCTTTTTCCATCTGCATATAAATCTATGTCTACATATGCTGAAAAATCACACTTGGATTTCTATTAAAAGCAAGTGAGGTGAGGACAGACTTTTTAGCAGTTCTCCGATTGCCACGGCGAACATGGGAACGGGGCAGGAGAGGACACGACTGTGTCTGATGGAGCCTTGACTCTCCCCTCCAGCAGCAGCCCACATTTACCAGCCTTCACCACGCGCTACACGGCTTTGGTGCATCCACTGTGTGGATGCGTGAGGCAGTTTTGAGAGCACGGCAGCAGCCACACGCGTTAACGTTATGCTAAGACACCAAAAACACAACAGCAAACACACTGGGAAGCTTTCCCTCTGTGTTTTGCTATTTCCTGAAACACAGGGGTAGGGCATTTCATCTTCACTCTGTATTTCCCTACTTTATTTTTATTCTTTTCTTTATTTCTTTATTCTCTTCTTTCACGAAGGGGCAATGACGAGGAAGATTAATACACCCTTTGATTAAGACTCCAATCTCACCTATCGGAGAGGCAGGAGAGCAGAGCCCAGCGAACAACGCAGGACAAGGCATTTGCAAGAACACCACCAGCCTACGGATCCTTCCACCCGTGCAGATTCACAGTGCCGATGATTCACGTAATTACAGAAAATGACACTCAGTCTCAGACAATTCTTTAACTAAAATGTATCCAACTGTTTGCTTTTAGCAGCAAAAGTAAATTTCAGGGGATTAAGTTGCACAATTTGAGATAATTAAAGCAGACTTTTTTTAGTAACTACCACCAACACCCTTCAGAAATACAATTTATCTGAATCTTGCAAGTTAGATTACTTAAAGAAAGAAAAAATGTCACAGTTTGATACAATGAAACCCCAGTAAACAGAATTTCTGACATTAAATGTGGCCCTGGATTAAATTTATGAACCAGCAACGTGGATGTCAATATGTTATTGTTTGACTGTTAGTGTAATATTAATTAATATGAACACATCTTGAATATTGTTGCAAACACTTTGAAATTAGTATCTCATCTGTGGATCAATCGTGAGACCGCTTCCACCAGATGCACAGGTATCAGCCAGAATACACACGGTACTCCTGCAAAAACCCTCATCAAAGGCTACGCTGCACAGGGCTACCTTCTAGGCTAGGTCAGTGCATCCGCGTTTCCTTCGTGCTCTTGCTCTCCAGAGCAGCTTACAAAGAAATCTGCCGTAAAGGAAGAAGTATCTGTAGATCACCTGCTGACACATATGTACTATGCAACAGCATTTTTTTCTGAATATTACAATTCGCTGAAATTTAAGTGTATAAAAAGGAGTGTGAAATATCAAAGATGACATTTCTGAAAAAAAAAAGTACAAAATAAAGCTCCTTTAATGTAGTTTTTCAGACTGATATATTTGTGTTTCTGGCACTTCACTGATAACCATGTAACTCCTGTTATATGTGGCTGTACTTTTTCAGTACATCAGCCTAGACTGGTACAGTGGAGTTTCAAGTGACAGTCAGAGCAGCGGTCACATTTTAGAGATGAGGGTGCCCTTTGGAATCTACTGACAAGATCCTACATGTGATGTATGGGAAGTTTCTACATGACTTCATAGCCCCAGGAATAGAGTAAGAAGATACACGGGGTGTTACTTCTGCTTTATTTTATTTTTCCTTTTTGTTAAATGGAAATAATCCTGTTTGGCTATTAAAGTAGTTCAAACACATATTTAATTTTAGCTGTTCTGGCTCTGGGCTCTGGAGCTGTCTGCAGTAATGCTACGTCCTGGCAAACTTTGTGCTGAGAGATCTTTATGGGAACATCTATATGGGAATGTAATAGCTGGCTGCTGCTATAAGAGCAGAGACTACAAATGAAGACACCATGCTCTTAAGCGCAAAAGCAAAAACAACAGCAAAAAAGTTTTACAGATGTTCAAATATCCAAAACACTTTCCTGTCTTTGCATAGCTTCCTCCTCCTGCTGCCATATGTTAAGAAGAATTTTCCATCTGAGCATTTGAAGACTATTTTCTAATTGGAACTACTAGACAAGCTGGTAGTTTTTTTTAATAAAGTAGGATGTTTATTATTACTTAAAAAAACAAGGGATCTAAACCTTTATTTCCTCCTCATTAACTACTAAAAAGTCTGTGGAAAATGACGTATGTCATAGATTACTGTATAGTCAATGACCAGCTGTTTTAAATTTGGATATTAAGTAATTCACGCTTTTCTGTGTGCAAGAGCTGAATGATTTAATAAATGCCCATATGCCCTTACGTGTGCCAGCTATACTAGGGTATCTGAAATCCAGCTGCTGTTACGATAATAGCTGCCAATGTTAAAACTACTGAAGAGAATAATGAATCAGCTTCAAGGCAACGAGGATATAAACTGACATAGTTCCTCCTTAAGACTTGTGTCAATATACCAGTCAATTTTTTTAAAAAAGAAAAACTCATAGCTACATGAAAATGTGCCAAAACATATGTGCATTGTTTAGGATGAAAAATTAATATCCACTCTACATGTAAAGATGATAAAAGTTCTAAATATATCAGAACATTCTGGCAACTAAACATAATGTCTACAGAAAAAGATTCTGTTGTTCTGCAATTTGCTTTTCTTATTTTTGCACATCACAATTTTCAGGGAGTAGTTACAAGAGATTTTCAGGTTAATTTAACTTTTGTCTTGAGATTTGCATAAATGCAACATTACATGATACACATCAGTTATCCAAATTAATTCCACTCTTAAGAAAAATAATTTGGAAATTATAAATCATCAGTCCTATAAGCAAGGTTAGAGTATTACTATAATGATTTAAATGCACACCAGCTATAGGATATAAAATATTTACTTAAAAAAATACCCATTTCTGTTAGTTGGAGCTGGATCATCTCCAGTACACAAAGTACACAATGCTGAAAAGCCACATTAAAGAAGAGTCCAATAATTTGAACTTCAAGTAGTCTATATATAGCAGTTTAAACATAAAACATATTATTTGAAAAAGATTAGGAATATATTGACAAATGAAAAGCATGTCATGCAGAGATTTAAGATACTTACAAAAGCTCAAGCAAAGGGGCAAACCACATCAATGGGCTTACAGAAACTCAGAGACTTTGAAAGCTAAAGAAGCTCTTTTTTCATACCTTAATTATAAAATAGCAGTAATTGTTTTCAAGCACATGTTCTTAACATTGAGAAAAAAATGCTATTTTCTTGAATATTAATAGACTTACTTTTCTTTAAGGAAATCCACTACTTGTTTGAAGTCTGCCACACAGTATTCTCTTTTCATGTCCATGAGCACGCTGTCAGATGCAGACTGGACTGGTATGTGCAGAAAAGCATACACTCTTGGATGGTTGAGAATCTTTGCCATTTCCTAAGAGTTTTCAAAAGAAAAAAGGTATTAATTTTCAATGGCTCACTCCTGAAAGAGTACAAGCGGGTGAAAATACTTGCATGACATTTTGTTTAAAAAAAAAAAAAAAGTAGCTATGGGATTATACTCTGAGATAAAAACAAACTAAATAGTATCCACTAAATAGTATCCCTTATTGATTTAAGGGAGAATTTCAGAAGTATGTGAAACTCACTCCCATATCATTAAAGCCTTGACCAGTGCTTTCAGACAGTGGTGTTTTACGTTCCAGGAGATGGCAAGAATTAGCTGCTCTCCTGCCAGAGTCCTCAGCTACCAATACACAAGGGCCTCTGATTTGAGTATCCTTAAGACTGGCTATTTGCTAAATCAGGTAGATCTGATCATTTGCAACTCTGTCTGAAATCTGTTACCCGCGATATTCCAGAAGTTATCTAGAAATTAAAAGCAGTTTCTGTGTGATGTAATAGTGGGTAGTTAAGAGCATTGTGTTAAAGAGCTTGAAAGGAGGCAAAGGACGTTATACATTATGTACAAATACAGAAAGACGGAAAAAATGCACAAACACAGCAAAACAAATAAAAACCAAACCAAATCCATTTGCAGAATGACACTTAGCAGGGTTATTTCCAATTTCACTAAAGTTTTTTCTTTCACTGAAGATTTCCCACTTTCTTCCCGGGCAGGGAGCACAGGGCACAGGAGCAGGGGCTGCCGCTGCCCCACACGCTCCAGCCAGGCTCCCCCGGCCCCGCGCTCCTCTCCTCGGTGCCAGCACAGATAGCCTGGCTGCCACAGCACACAGTGCTGCCAGCTCTGCCCGTTTAGTTGCAATTATTTACAAATTCTGCCCTGGCCATTAATCGGCAATGTGTTTAGTCACGCACCTAGCATCTTCTCTCAGTATTTATAGGATGTTGGCCTGGACTGGTCCAAGAAAAGGTAAAAACCACTGTCCCTTTCAGGTACCTGCCTTTTGAATCTCTGCCAAGAATCCTACTACCTCAGTGCGAGACACGCAGCTATGCCATTCACTGGAGCATCTACTCTGTCTCAGGTATGTGAACTAAATATACCAACAGTAACAGATGTGTGAACCAATATACCAGTAGTAAGTAAGTAGATATGTGAGCTAAATCTACCAGTAATAACTACAGTGATAATGGCAGGAGCCCGATTTGATGACAGTGAGGTGTGTGGAGCTGGCTCTGGCTCTTGATGCAAGTCGGAGGCCGGTCGACTGTGCTCCTGAAGGACTGAAGAAAACACCAAGATGCCTCCTACAAAGTTGATCTTCTCAACCGGTTTCCATTTTAAACAGAGCCAGCTGCTTATATTCTTATTGGTTTTAGATGTTCGTCTAGAAAATACATGTTTTCAAACTGAAACACTATCAAAAAAAGCTCTGCAAAATGAAGCAAATGACACAGACTTCTTTCTCTCTCAGGCTTTAGAAAATAGAGTAAATGCAGTTTATGTGAAGCTTTTGAGCAATTACCCGTGATTTCCTGCTTTTCAGTAACAAAGTATGTTCTTGCTTCTAAAATCTCAGAAATGGCAAAAGTGCTGGAACCTGAGCTATGCACCTCAAATCTATTACTTCACTCAAAAACAGATTTATGGCATAAGAAATCAATGAAAGTCAAGTTTCAAAAAATGTTTCTGAATCTGCCAAGTTCTTAAAAAAAGCACACACTGCAAAACAAAGAATTAGTTCTTCACTCTTCTTAAATTTAGCATCCTTTGAATAACAGTCTGTTCTGTATGTGATCACTTTGTGAATTCTTTTTTAAGCTCATAAGCTATTTTTAGATGTTTTCACCTTCTAATATAAGTGTTATTCTAACCAAGCTTTTGTAAGGCTGAACACCATCTCATATGAAAGCGATAGCTTGCTTCAAAATCAGGAAATATTGTGTTAAAATATTTAAGAAGATTTTGTCCTTTCCACTTTCCATACACACTAAGAACTCATTTTAATGGTGTTTTTTTTGTTGTTTGTTTTGGTTTTTGTACACACTAAGAACTAATTTTAATGGTGTTTTTTTTGTTGTTTTGGTTTTTGTACCTTAAGATAGAGTTTAATTCTTTCTCATAATAGGAGCTACTTTCAAATTTCAGACAAAATTAGCTGTGCATTGCAGGCCAGAAGAAAATAAATAAAGGAATATGAATAACTAACATTTCATTTAAATTTATCGCCCTCCATTTCACTCTGCTACACCATTTTGTACCAGAAAGCAGTAAGTTCTGTTGAGGGTATTCGTGTATTTTCAGGTATAGACCTGTATCTAAGGCCCCACTGAAAAGGTGACTTCCCACCAGCCACTTTGGACTTGGTGGCTTTAACAGAACACAAATTATTAACAAAACATAAATGAAACAAATATGAGAAAGAAATATGTGATAAGCCACCGTCTACTGTCATTCACTTCTAAGTAACAAAAGTTTCTGTTTTTCTTTGACTCAAAAAGGAAACAGCTTAACGAACTAAATAAATGTTTCGCTTTATTACTCAAGAAGTCTGAAGAAAACAATCTTCGAAAAATTTTAAATGTTCAGATAGAAATAGAGCAGCCCATCCCAAAACTTTAACTGCAAGTCTTATCCAGCCTATATCTGAAACTCCGCTAAAGTACCATGCCACACAGGTTTCACTGAAATAGAACTATGCACCGAACCATCATACTAACTTCATTCTGATGGACTGCACAAAGAATACTAGATCTCATCACTTAATAAAGCTATTAGTTAATATCCCAGAGAGAACTTGAAGGGCATCATGGGCTAAACATATAATTGTACTTTATAGCGTCTTCACATTGTAAGCTTAACATCTGGTTCCTGTTTATAGGCTTTTTTTTTTCTTTTTTTGTTTTTTTAAACAAAGTGCTTTGCATTATTAGATATAATTACATATTTCAGCTAGTAGGAAAAAATGCAATATAGAATTTATTTTATTTCCATCTGGAAATAATAAAAGAACTCATTTGAAATTACAAGACTGCAAAAGAAAACTTCTGTCTTTAATCAGGACTGAAACAGCTGATTGCCTCTTTCCCCCTTTGCTAGGCAATCTACTAACTACACAAATGAATAGTAGGACTACATGAAGAAGAGATTTCATGTAAACAAAAAGGTCAGAGAGTACCTCAATTTGTTTTAAAGCTGAATTCACAAAATGAAAAGCTGCCTTAAACTTGGAATCTAGAAATACATGGTCAGAATACTGACCATATAGGAAGTATTTTTTTTTTCAGTTTTTAGCAGCTGCAAGGCATCAGAACACAAGGAACACTGCCAGAAAGATTTTTATCTAGTCAGTATAATTTATCGCAACAATTACAACGCTCAGCTTTAACCACCTAACCGGAAAAATCAATCCTTCTATTTGTAATGACATCATGCACAACTACAGGGAATCACCAAGGTAATAAAAATCAATATTCGTGCATCTTTGTCAGATCAGCAAGCTTCTCAGGCAGGGGTTTTTTCCCCCCCTAACCCTCAAGTAGGCAAAAATCCAATATTTGACTTCTGTCTCATATTTGAGACACGACGATCTGAATAACTTGTTTCCTAGCAAAAGGGTTGTGCTCTCTGCCAGCAGAGAAACCCAAGGCAATGCTCTTGCACATGGAAAGGTGACAACACGGCTTTGCCTCCACATTCCTTCCCCCAGCAGCTGCCGGGCCGGGTTACGTAACGAGGGGGCTCTGGCGGCACCGCCAGCCCAAGCTGGTGCCAACGGTCAGCGGCTGCGGCCTGCTCCACGACGGCTGCTGCCGCGCGCGGCGGGATCCCGTGTGCTCCAGCGGCGCAGGCCTGGCTGCGGCGACACGGCACCGGTACGCCTCGGAAGCCTGTAAGAATTTATTGAGATTAATGAAGAGGAGATGCCCCTCTCACATCGCATGCGGGATGAGTGTCTTCGAAAGGACGACCGTATAGGACATGCAAGCACAGAGCTCCCAGCGGGCGCTCGTTGGAAGGCAGGGCCTCACCCTCACCTCTATGGGGAGCAGGATGGGAGTAGCAAAGCCAGAGGCTGCACGAGGGGAGCCACGTTGTAGAGACAGGACCCACGGCCAGCTCCAAGCAGCCCGCGAAGAGGAGGCAGGTCCCGCTAGAGCAGTCAGAAGCCCTCGCAATCCTGACCAGTGTAATCTGAACCCTAAAATCAAATCTGCCAGATGGAGCGCAACAAATTCTATTTTGTCATATGGGAAAAAAAACGCCTTCCAGATTACTAACCCAAAAGCTAGTCTTAGTTCAGGCCACCTTTGAAAAGGGATACAAACCAGACTGAAAGTCATGATTTGCTGGTAGGACAACCAGCACTAAGCACCATATGCTCAGCCCTATCTATTCCCAGTTGTTTTTCTAGCTGTAGAACCTCTTTTTTTAAAAAAAACTTCATAAAAGAAGCAACTTCAGCTAGTTAAGTAATTGGGGGAGGTGGGGAGGGAAGGGGGAAAGGGAGGCAAGGGAGAAGATTACATATTATACCTAATCTCTTAAAAAACACCAAACAAAAAACAAATTATAAGCCTTCAAAATCTTGCTGTATCTACTTGAGGGGAGCTAACAACAGTTCTTACAATAACAAATAAATACTGTATTTCATAGTCAAAAGGTTCAGCTGAGTTTTGTTTTATCTCCTCCCACAAGGCATTACATAAACGAGGATAAATACAGTGGCAAACGGTAGCTATCTGACTTCTGAATTTTAAGTACAGGAAAAACCAAGAACTGTACTACAAATGTTTCTCTCCAAAAATTAGTGTTAACCTGGTGGTATTGCTTGTGTATATATATAAAGAATAGAAAGAGACTCTTTGTGGAATATGGTTTTTATACTTATCCAGGAGAAAAACAGTAATTCTCAGCATAGATATCACGCCCTGGGCTCCTGCAATGCTTCATGATGAGAAAATTGGCCTCCCTGCCAGAGCCCCTCTTCCACCATCCAAGACCGGCACGCTAAGCATTTGCAT